TTTTTTTTTTTTTTTTGTACCAGGGGTCAAACTCTGGACCTAGTGCTTGTGAGGCAGGCATGGCACCACTAAGCTAAATCCTCAGCCCTGTCCCTTGTTTTCTTTCCCCCCAAAACACTTGACTTTGAAAAGATTTTAATCATGATCACAAATAAAACAGTAAGATGTCCAAGAATAAACTTAACAAAAATTTTACAAGTCACATCAGTTTCTTTTAGAATACAGAAGATAGAGTAATATTCCAAAATGTTCTATAAATGCACAGAAATTTTTTTAAAAGTTCCCAAATAGTTTTTGAAGGTATATATAAACTGTTTCTAAAGTTCATGGGAGGAGAACATCTAAAAGGAAAATATTTAAGAACATATTTAAAATATGAGAACAGATATATACTACACACCAAACATGCCATATAAACTGAAGTTAATTATAACTATTATTTTGGCACAGGAATGAGCAAACAGATCAATGGATGAGGACAGAATCCAGGAAGACATCTAGGAATTGAACATGTAACAAAGATGACATTTCAAATTGGTACAAATTGATGCTCATAAGACAATAGGCCTCATGGAAAGAACAATAAACATTTCATTCTTAAGCTCTATAATAAAGTAACTTTCAGATGGAATTCAAGATTTAAATGTGTTTTACAGAATCCAGGAAGACATCTAGGAATTGAACATGTAACAAAGATGACATTTCAAATTGGTACAAATTGATGCTCATAAGACAATAGGCCTCATGGAAAGAACAATAAACATTTCATTCTTAAGCTCTATAATAAAGTAACTTTCAGATGGAATTCAAGATTTAAATGTTTTAAAAAGTTGTATCAGAAAAAATCTTGGGAGATTGAAAGCAAGGCCTTCATACTGAGCTATATCCCTAGCCCTTAAGATCTTTTAAAAATGTTTTAAGACAGGGTGTTGCTAAGTTGCTAAGCTGCCTATCATGGGATCAACTTTACAATCTTCCTGTGTCAGCCTCCTAGAATGCTGGGATTACAGGTGTGAGCCACCATACCTAGCAAAATCTTGGATATTTTTACAATGTTAAAGTGAAAAATAATTTCTAAGCATTATATAAAACCTACAAGTCAGTTTAAAAAAAAAGACCAACAAATGGATCTGAATAAAAATTAAAGGACTTCTGTATATTTCTATACAGAAAGGGGTAAGAATAATACATATTCATAGTTGCTTCTACTTCAACTCTGTAAAGGTTTACAAGAAACTCATAATGTCCATCAAAACACAGCTAGTTAAATTAACTATTGTATGTTTATTCTGGAGAATACTGTGGTTGTTAAGGTGACTGTGTGGGTACTGACACAAAATGACCTCTAAGATATCTTGTGAAGTAAAACAAGTAGTGTGTAGCTCAACAGAAACCATAGGTATATTTATGTAGTAAAAAACTGCACATGTTATTGACAAGCATATTAAATATAATTATATTTATGTAAATACATAGACGTTCATAGTGTTCTGCACTAGGTTAGAGACAGTGGTTACCTTTGCAGAGGTGGCAGGTAGGAAGACATATAGGAAAACTATTTATCTTTGCATTACACACTTTGGTATTATATGATTTTCAAATTTTGAATTTTTATTTTAATTTCTGTATTTCTTTGACATTTTGTAACTAATACAAATGGGTAAGAATTCTGTTGGGAAAATAGATATTCACACAAACCTACCGTGCCAGTTCTTTTTTTTTTTTTTGGTACCGAGGATCAAACTTGGGTCCTTGTACTTGCCAGGCAGGCAGCAGAACCACTGAGCTAAAATCCCCGGCCCCATGCCAGTTCTTAACTGATTGCTCTTTAGCTCCAAATTTGCCCTTCACCGCCTGTTCTGTGATAACTGACAGCATTCCTTCTCAAGACTTTCTCCTATATGAGTGTAATCTTCAACTTTCTCAGTAGAGGGCGCTGGAGGGACACTACACAAGAACTGGGGATCCTTCTGCGGCCACTGGTACAGGTGAGCTTGCAGAGAGGACGTGAGGACATCTGGTGGTGTTCCTCCTGACTCACGCATCTGGAAAACTGCTTAGATCGCTTTCTTAGGGTTCTAGACAGACACCACACTCCAGGTTTCCGGCCCCTACCAGGCTACCACTTCCTCTGTACACCAAGGTGCCTGGCCACTAGCTGGCCGGCAGGTTTCCCCCACCTCTGCCTGCACACTTGTATACCCTACCACTGGCTTGCCTCATGGACACTATGTTCTAGACCTCCTGCCTGCAACCACACCCCCACTCTCACTGCTCACCCACACTCTGGCTACCAGTTGCAGCTAGCCCATACCACCTGTCTCTTGTACCCCCAGCGCTGCTTCTTACTGCCCAAAGCTATGGACTTGGTTTGGCCTGGGAATTTAATTTTCTCCGAGAGGCTTCTTCCAAGTCTGCTGTTCCTTGGACACTCTCCCCTGTATAAGATTTTCTTCTTCTTTTTTGGTACTGGGGATTGAACTCAGGACCTTGTGCTGGCGAGGCAGGCAGCAGTACCACTGAGCTAAATCCCCGACCGAGACTTTCTTCTATCCTGTACTTCTCCACCATAGCTTAATAATTCTTTATATTAACTTCCCAGTTTTAAGTCTTGTGACTGGACCCAGGCTGATGACAGGATTTGGGGATTGGTTTGGTGTTGGACTCTTTGTCATGGGAAATGGATGCTTGTAACAGACTATATGGCATGGCATTACAATTAATCAAACTGCAATTTATTGTGATAAAATGCCAAATGAAACATGCTTTATAAGTGACTTCTACGTTCATCTATAAGGCAGTAATTATGAATGTAAGGACTATGGTATGGGATGGATTATTTTGAGTGCACTTGAACATTTACAAAGAGAAAATGACATGCTCAGTTATATTAACTTTCAGTTCAAATCATGTTGAACAGCAGAAAGCTTCTATAATGGCCCCCAAATAACTTATTTCTTGTAGTTACAAGAAGCTACTGTTGAAAATCAAGCACAAAAAATGTTGGATTATTGAATTACAACAGCAAAAACACAAACATGCAATTTCTACTGTGAAAGTCAAGGTACTGACAGAAAAAAATGGAATGTGGAAACCTGAATGAGGGTATCTGGTTAGACTCAGATGAAATGACAATCTTGGACTTCTAAGTCATCCCAAGCTTCCCTTACCAGTAAAGTAGCTTGCTTTCTCATCTCAGATTAGCTGTCCTTTGCTTGAAAACCCT